CATTTCTCTTAGCCCAAATAAGGTTTACTAAAATGATGATGTTGCCATTAGAAAATAATTAATGCAGTGTTCTAGACAGCCATGCAAAAAATTCTGAGCAGTAAACTTATCTGAACGAAGAGATAATGTACCGAACTCCATTGTCTTTCTATAAGGGAAGAGCAAAAAAGATGACCGACAGTTTTAGTCCCATGACGATAAAAAAACACAGTCAACTTGTATATTTAAGTGATGCATCCTCAAAATATCTCCAATAGGCACAACGGATGAGCTGGTTTCCAAATAAAAAGAAGTTGTAACTGGATTTTCTAAACACCACTATTTTGTTCACCACATGAATGATGGGAACAAAAGGAAAATTAAAGGATATATAATATGGATTTGACATGTTTGCTCGATACAAATGGGTTTCCTTAAAGAAAAGCTTATAATGTCTCATTTGGTTATACTACCTCCTTAATATAAGACCCTGTTTGATTTTTATTTTGGTTCTAAATATAAGACCCCAATCCACTTTGTCTCTAATATTTATACATTTTTTCTCTAAAGTAGCTTTTCTAACAATGATAGTTCTAGTTAATACACTTGATTAGTAAGGATATTTTATGAAAGACAACACCTGTTTAGGACAAGTAACTAACTCAACTTACTTCCTTAATCTTCTCAAATTAGTCAACTGGCTCTTATAATTAGGACCGGAGGTAGTGTGTTATTTTTACTATATATATATAAATATTCCAGAATGGCGTCAAGATTCAAAAATTTGGTTGGCTAATTGTTTGATTCCTATTGTATACTATCTCCGGTATAAGTAAGAGCTAATAAGACTCTAATTTATTTTATTTATATATTTATTCATTTTTTAAAGCTAGACTCTATAGTGATTGCACATACATGTTAAATGGTTTCCATTCTAATACACTTGAGAACAATAATATTTTATGAAAGATGTACTTATTTATTATAAGAAACTTAAATAATTTTCTTAATATTCATAAATTAATTATCTAACTCTTATATTAAAAACTATAATATATATTTTGCTTTCACTTGAGAACATGAAAACAGACATAAGTCCAAATTTGGAAGATCCAACATGATTATCTGAGGAGCCAACCCACTTGTGTTTATATCATGCTTGCTGTTTGAGGGAAAAAGGGAGCATCTAATAATAAATCCACCACCGTTACCAAGGAATAAACTATTCCTTGATCATCTTTTATTTTTTATATGATTTTAATTAAGTCAAATTCAAGTATCATTAAGTCCAATTAACGGTAACTTTCTCAAAGGTATTTTATGCCTTCGTATAGACTCGGACTTGAGATCTTGTACTTTTTTTTCGCGAACGAGATCTTGTATTTAAACTGTTAAAGTTCCTTTGATTAATTAAGACCAATGCTTGTTAGCTATTTTATATTTTGTAATCCCTTCTTACTATACAACAGACTCAAATTGGGAACGAAATAGTTACTTATCTTCATTCAAATCATTCCAACAACAACAAACAAAGCCAATGATTAGTTTTCTTTTTAAATTCAGTGGAAAAGGTAATTTTTCAATAATGGAGGTGAATTAGGCATCCAATGTTAAATAACTTTTGAGAAACCAGCTATGCTGTTCAGAAATTGTGTATAAGGTTACTTGTTATAATTTTATGTTTTGCATTAATATTACTATGGCTCCATACTTCATGCTTTTCATGATAAATGCATTAATTTGATAAATTTCTACGTATATTGTATAGACTTTGAAATGAATGATATTATTTACGGTTTATGTTATGTGGTTTTTTTTCTCGACTTAACATAATTTTTGGCTCCTTAAGTTTTAAACCATAGATTTTAATCTCTCAAGTTTCTTTTCATTTAAAATATTAGTTCCTATAATTCAATAAAAACTTGATTATTTTGTTCATTGAGGGACCAAAACTTATAGTTTGAAATTTAAAGGATCAAAATTAAAATAAGAGCAAATTTGAGAGACTAAATATTATGTTAACCTCTTTATGATGAAAAGGTAATTTTGCATTAATTGATAAAATAAAAGGAAATAAAGAAGTTCAACAAGTCCGGTACATCTTGAAATAAACAGTACATATATTCCACGGGATGTTGCTGCAAGTGAGGAGCAAGTAACTTAGCATGAGAAAGTTTAGGTAAGTTACATACAAAAGGAGATGAAAATGATACTCATATGGTCTTAGTTATAAATTACTTTTAATATTTTTTTTACACAGATCAAGAAAAACTTTAAATTTTATTAACCCTCGTTTAAAATTTAACAACTTTCCAATTTTATCTCTATTTATATTATACTTTATGGAAACAAAATCAATACAATAATAGATAAAAGGTAAATCTGTATATTCGTACAAAAAATTTTTCTGAATACTATATAAATAGGATCAAAAAATATCTTTTCTTTTTGTCTTATAAATAAGATAAAGGGAGTAAATACCAATGAGGGCAGTTGAAGGTGAAGTTTTCGCAGCTTGGAGGAGGGTGTGACGGTGCCTGTCTGAGCCAATTGCTTATCAAAATACACTTCCCAGTGAAGACAGTCCAATCCCCGGCGTGAACGTCCCATGTGGAAACATGAATACCAATGAGGCTTGGAACGGCGTTGCACCTGATCGATGGAGAGAATTGCGAGAGTTTGGCAAGCTTGGCCGTGAATGATTCATATGTGCCCAGAATCTGTTTTCAGTACTGGAGGTCGAGTGCTTGATACTTTTAGAAGTTTTTAATCTTCAAAGATAGCTGAGGCACTTATATGTGTTCAAAATTGGCTATGTACAAATCAGTCTAAGACAAATGATTGGGATGTTGATAATTTTGATGAGAGTATAAAGATTGTTGTTGGTAATTGACTAATTTCTGTATCATTGATTTTGCAGCATTGCATTATGTTTTTTATACTAATATTAATGACATTAATTTATTTTTGTTTGTTTTGTTCTTACATAGCAAGAGTCAGCAGCCACAAATTCAACAATTTCAAGTGATTTCGAAGCAGAACATGATGACACTCAAGATCTAGCTAGATGATCAATTGATGATATTGTTTCTTATTCATCTTTTATCAAACATTTATGCTTGTCTGAACTTTTATTTTATCCTTTAGGTGGAAGTTAGAACTTTCAAAGTTTATGAGACTTTTTATGATTGGTGATTACTTTTATGATTTTATCAGACTTTGATTGTTTGTGAGTTGTGACTCTAAGTGAGGTTGTGTGATTGAATATTATGTGATGTTATTTTATATTTGATTTGCCATTTGGTACACAATTTATTGACAGTTTCATAAGATTACATATACAAAGTAGCTATACTGAAAAAAATTATCAAAAAAAAATAGAAAAATAAATGGGTGACCTCATAACTCGGTCAGCCCAAACGGGCTGCCCCGTAGCCCATTTATTACGAGTTAGAATGGACTGCTACCAGGTTATGGGCTAGCTTATGCTTGTTTATTCATAAATGGGCAGGCTATGGGCTAATTTTTGAGCTAATCTAGCCTGCCCATTGCTCGGCTCTACATGAATCTTCTGTCAAACTTGAGAGAGAAAATATACTTTTCCGATTTTTAATGTACGATCTAATTAACTAATTTGAATAAATTAATGATATTAATTAAATTAGTTAATATAATATATATTTTTTCTAAAATATTCTAAATATCTTTCTTAATTTCCTTTCTCCCTCAATAAGGTTAATTTAAAAAAGTAGATAAGTATATAAAATATGTCTTATATATACACACACTAACATTAACTCCACAATTAGATTTTACATTAAGAACTGAAAGAGTATTACGGTACATTTGTAACGAATCTCTTAGAAATCAAATTTGATATGGATGGATTGTTGACATTTTTTGTGGTAAATACTACTCAACTACTAATAATTATAAAAGCCAAAATTTCAAAATATCATAGTTTGACCTTGATTTATGAAATTTTAGGCCTTTAATCACTCATTATAATTAGAAGTATTAAATGTAACAATACAGATGATAGTCAGCAAAAAAAAAAAAACACAATACAAATGATAAGTTTTTTTAGGAATAATTGGTGATAAAATAAAAAAGTCTATTTTAATTCTAAATGTAAGATCTCAATATATTTTATTTTTAAAAATTTATAATTTTTTTCTAAACATTCAAATATTAATAGTTTTCTTTTTGAATCAATGAAGTAATTTCCAATTCAAATGATTAAAAGGTACTATTTTTTACGCAGACAAAAGTTAAGCCAAGTTGTTTATATTTATTAGGTCACGTTCTTCATTATATTTGTTATTTTGTTATTGTTAATTATTCAAATGTGCACAAGCACTTATAAATTATATTTGTAAATTTTTGTACCAATTTATATAATATAAATTAGGATTTGTAAATTTTTATGGGAACACTTGTTATTTTATAGTTGTTGGTTATAAAAATACATATGTGCAATTATAAATTTAATTAGGGAATATCGACACCTCCTTTTTTTTTTTAATTGTCGTTTGTCAAAATTTATATGTATACTTATAAAATCATTCATGAATTTAATTTAATTGACATGGACAATTTAAGCTAACTTCTATACTTTTGAGAAATAAATAATTTAATTAATGTTCCTTTTATGGTGATTATTTTTCTTAATCTTTATAAATTAATTATTGCCTTGAATTGGATTGGATGGGGGTATTCTTCTCCTACATACCAACTTAGTTAATAATAACTCATGGAAGTACTGAAATTATGAGCTGGGACATGCCTGATTGCCTGGCATCAAGTGGTTGCTTCACACAATAATTCTGTCCTTTTCCTTTCCTTGTAGGTGGAAATATTGGGTGAATGGTGAATATAAAATTCATTTATAATTTTATATTTATTTCCCTCTGAAAAAACAATGATCTTAATAATTATCCTTACTTTGTGCTTCTCCATTTTTATTCTTTTTTATTATTATCAATCTCTGTCAATGGCTTTTGCAGTTCAAGTTGCACACTTATCTGTCTTCGCCCATATCAGATACGTCACCTTCCCTCTAGGAGAATCGCTTCGACCACCGTGAGTTTCAGGGAAGAGCGAAGTAACAGCTTCAAACGGCTGAAATTGTGTTATCGAAGCAAAGGTAAGATTTTTCCTCCTTACATTCTTCGTTTGATTGCAGAGTATGTGTCAGCATGGGATTCTTGAATCTTCTCATCATTTTCCTCCTTCATAGAATTTTTCTTTTTTCTCTTGTGGCGGGCCAATAGATCGATATTAGATAATTCTCGATTATGCTGGTCTGTGATTGCCTACAATTCAGAATTTAATCGCAAGCAAAGTTGCTACTTGGAATCTTCTCTTTTTATCAGAAATTATTGAATTTTGTATCAGATATGAATGAATTGACCCAATGCTTTTCCTTCGTGTTTCTTATTGGAAGGTGGATGTGGGATCATGGATCTGTTTCTAACATATTTCCAGTTGAATTCTTAGATCAGGGGCATGGTATTTTGGGGTGTTGGTAGTGCTTTGTTTTTTTATGAAATTTACCTGAAGAGTTGCTCCTTATATAGAAGCTATAAACGTGGAAGTTCCATCGGTTTTATGTGTTGTGAACAAATGTATTTATCAAAACATAAGGTTTTAGGATGTTGTGTCCTGTCTCTGTTATGATTTTGGTTGCATTTGAGAGCACAAAGCATGTTAAAAAGTTTTAGACTCTGGCAGTAGAAAGGTGGTCTAAAGATATCATAGGTTTTGAAAATGATTTTTCTTCTGACTTCTGACTGTGCTAATTAGCATAGTTGCGAATCTTCTATAGTTGATCATAGATGGACTTAAGTCACAATAATCTGTGCAGAATGATTTTTCAATTTCGGGTTTGAAGATTGTTATTGAATAGTTTTCGAGGTTTTATCTTACCCCATTTATCTTTGGGACTAGTTTTAGTCAGTTCTCCTTTGTTATGTCCTTTTTTTTTGGGGGGGGGGGTTCCATCCTATATTATTTCTTTAATTCTCGGATTTTATTGCGCAAATTTAACATCCATAATTTTATACGTGTTGTGCATATAATAAAAACAGCAAAGAATTATTTTATTTTTTTTTTTTTTTTTTTTTTTTTTTTTTAAAAGAAAAGCTACATACATGCCTTGCTATGCTTCTGAGAACAAGGAAGAAAGCAATACACAAGTAACAAATATTGAGTTCAAGTGCTTTCATCTGCTCCTAGTTAACACATGGAACTTTTATTGTATAATTGCTTTTGAGTACCCTTTTTGCTTTTCAAAATATTTGGATGTGATTGATTGGTTTTCTATCTTGATTCACAACCCTAATATTGTTCCAGTGCAGCCTAGAAGAGTTTACAAATCTCAACAATTTGGATTGATCAGCTGATATTGGAAATGGTTAAAAGGTTTTCTGGCTTTCACTTATGACAACTTTTATGAAAAGTGAACTAAATGGAATATCTAACTTAATTCCTTTTGGAACAGTTATGGAGTGTTTTGATTTGCTAGAGATACCATGTTGTACTGCATAGAGGGAGTTAAGCGTCTAGTTGCTTCTGCATTGCGTTGTTGTGACCTTGATTTATATAAGCAGCCGAGAGGCCTTGAAGATCCTGAACAACTTGCAAGGGAAACTGTGTGTATGTAATCAACTTAATTTTATGCTTGCGATATCTTAATCCTCACTGCTGTTCTGATGAAATCAAGTTTTAAATGATTTGTGAGCACTGTGTTTCATGATGAAGCATAATGATTTATGATTCTGGGGTTCTATTGCCTTTTCAGAGCATGTTATTTAGTGATGAATGCATGAAAACTGGAAAAAGAGAAAGAGAACCATATGGAAGACAAATTATCCTGTTTGTGTTAACTTTATGCCGTACCACTCTTTGGAAGTAATCACCAAGTGTTTGTGCTGAAGATAATTATTTCATTTGCACTTGTTTGCAGTTAGTGTAAGTGAAATAGAAGCACTCTATGAGCTTTTCAAGAAGATTAGCAGTGCCGTGATTGATGATGGGCTGATTAACAAGGTTGGTTTGTTTTTGAACATTTGATAATTGATCTAATCATTTTTTCTTCCTTCAACTGAATAACTTATAAATTACATCATTCTTCTATTTGATGGTTTTCTTTTCCCATAAAAAAGGGTCTAGCTTTCAAAGTCTTATTTGAGGTTCTTCATTTTTCCCGCCTCATAATATTGATATGTTGTACATACCAATTGCAGGAAGAGTTTCAATTAGCATTATTCAAGACAAACAAAAAAGAGAGTTTATTTGCTGATCGGGTAAATCTTTTTTACCCGTTCTGGATCTTCAAATACCTGTACTTAGATCCATTAAACTCTTGATGCTTTCATCGTGTCATGTAATTGTGTTAGTATGGCATACACGTTGGATCCAAGGAACATCTTTTGGAACTGTTAGTAAAATGAATGAAATTTTTTGTTGTCTTCCCTTCTTCATTACTTGGTTGCCACTGTTGGCTGTTGTTAATTCTCACTTATGCCAATTTCCAATTATGTAATCTATTTCTCATCCATGACGTAATTTTGGTTCGTTATACATCAAAATTGTTGTCACAAACATAGTCAGACCTAATCTCTGCCTCCATCATGTCGCCTGTTTACCATCCTTCCTGGACCAAAAATGCTGAAGAATGTCATGCTGTTATCATGCTTGAGTTTGGATGTTCAAACTCTTTCTATTTTGGTTTTGGATTGAGATTGGTGCAGTTTGTTATTTCATGACCTTTTCTATTAGTGGTTAAATTCTTAATTGTTGTGAATTATATGCAAAGGGGGAGACAAGCTGTACATGCAAATGTAGCATTGCTTATATGTACAAGGCAACTAACTTGGTAGTTTTTTATTTACCTACTAAGCTAATAAAAGCATACAGCGTATTATATGGCTGCTTTGTTGTCCCATGCTTGCATAGTAATGAATTAAAGTGGTAAAAAAAATCACTATGTTTGTGTTTTATGCTGTTGCTAATTTGCAATCTTGATTATATGAGGTGCAACTGTGTTGTTTATTTTAGCTAATTTTGCAAGTGGAAAATCTATATTGTGTATCTTGAAGCTTAACTAGTAACTTTTTAAAGTTGTGATAGGCCCTTATTTGGATGCTGTCTTAAATGCTCCTTTAAGATTTCAATTGTTTTCGAAAAAGTTCACCACTACTTTAATGCTTGCAAAGCACACTTCCTCCGCTGGTTTATACTACCTCAGAATGATGTTTTTCCTTCTACATATGTGTGTCTGTGTTCATATTGTTAGCATCTCATATATGCTTCTTGTGATATATTCTACTAGGTGTTTGATTTGTTTGACACAAAGCACAACGGGATATTAGGTTTTGAAGAATTTGCTCGTGCTCTCTCCGTTTTCCATCCAAATGCCCCTATTGATGATAAGATTGAATGTATGTTATCAGAAACCGTTGCTTCTTTTGAGATCCTTTAAGGCTGAAGTTGCTTGCATCAGTTTGGATATACAATTTAAATTCGATTCTTATATTTTAAGTTCGATTCTTATATTTTCTTAGTAGGACCGTACCCACAAAATGAAAACTAAACTCACATAATTCATGTTCTAGTTTCCTTTCAACTGTATGATCTCAAGCAGCAGGGGTTTATAGAAAGGCAAGAGGTAAAATGTTTTCTTCGATATGCTTTTCAAAAAATCCATTCTCTTCATCTGGGGTAAGGCTGATTGTTATTTGCATATTTTGTGAAGGTGAAGCAAATGGTAGTGGCTACACTTGCTGAATCTGGTATGAATCTATCGGATGATGTAATAGAAAGCATAATTGATAAGGTGCTTCCCCATTATTTTCTTGCAAGCTCCCTTATTGTATTTTGCATGAGAGTCTTCATAAAGTCGTGTTCCTTTTTATTAGTAGTGAAAAAGTAAGTACCTTTTTTGTTTCATCCTTTTTCTTGATTTCTTCAGACTTTTGAGGAAGCAGATACAAAGCATGATGGCAAGATTGACAAGGAGGAGTGGAGAAACCTTGTTTTGAGACATCCATCACTTCTAAAGAATATGACCCTTCAATATCTCAAGTAATGTCGAAAATATAAATTTTATTTTGCACGTATGTTTGAAATCATTTGAGTTTCTATTTAGCCAACTTTTTAAGGATTCTGTCTTCTCCAAACTGGAGTGGACTAGCCAAAAATGCTCACTGATCATTGCTGGCATGGAAGAAATGGGTGTGAGTGAGATATCCAAAAAGGTCTTTGCTTTCTTGGGAAATTTTAAATTTAAGAAGTAGTTTAGCATTTTTAGGCCTCTTCAAACTTGATTAAAGTAGAATTTGTTATAACCATAAAATAATCTACTACCGGGGAAAAACGTTGGTATTACTAAAGTACTTTATATTCTTCAAGTTGTCATTGAAGGACAGCTTTGGTTGGTTGTTCAGATTTTAGAATTAGTGTCCTTAAACAAAAATATCGAACTTTAAATGGCATAAAAGGATATGGGTATCTCCTTGAATATTCATCTGCACATGAATTTTATGCGAGGTTGCCTCGTACCCAAGTCAGATTATTAAACAATAAGTGAATTACTTTTGTTTTTCTAGTTTCAGCAGAATGAGGTTCGATTGATCATTGGCATAACTTGCTTTTCCATGCATGATAATGCTATGTTCCTCCTTCACTGAACTTGTTTTTTCTGGTTCTATAACTTGCTTTTTCATGCGTTTGAGCAGGGATATCACCACAACGTTCCCCAGCTTTGTGTTCCATTCACAAGTGGATGATACATGAATCTACAAGTATAACATTCATCATTTGCTTGTGTGCTTTAAACCCACCTACTGTGTAAAAAAAGAACATAACAGCAAGCTTTGCCTTTCTTTTCTTTTTTTTAATTTTATTTTGTGCCAAGAGCTTGGTTACCTTACATTGGTTATATATTTGATGATGATGAAGATATTTGGTTTTGGAGATTCGTGTTTGGAGATTAGGCTTATTCAGCATATATTTGATTCGTTGCTTGAAACTTGCAGATAATATCTGATAGCAGATAGAGAGAAAACAGAGAATATTTCATTCACGAAAATGCAATAATGGACGGTACATCAATATATTTCCCTCAAACAGCCCACATCAGCAACGTATCTTTCTCTCTCTATAACAAACCTATAACTAACTCAATAGGACCGGCTGACCTGTATCTGAAATAACCGCCCCAGTATTATTATATATCATTTACTTACTTTCTACCATATGCCATATATCAAATACTCCCCTCCTTAAGGAAGATCCTTGTCCACAAGGATGGTGGGAGCTTGCGGTGCAGCAGTGGAGAAATGCGGAAATTGGTGTTGAATAGCAGAAAGATCCTCCCAAGTGGCATCCTCTGGTTGAGTCAACTTCCAACGAACCAAGACCTGGGTAACTGGGAGATTGTGGCGCTTAACGATCTTCCTACCAAGAATCTCCCCCGGCTCCAACATAAACTGGCCGTGGTCGTCAATAGGGGGTAAAGCTAGAGACACGTGACCCACCGGACCAACATGCTTCTTGAGGAGAGAAACGTGAAAAACCGGGTGAACTCGCGTTCCTGCTGGCAGTTCCAGTTCATAGGCAACAGTACCCACACGCTTGAGGATTTTGAAGGGCCCAAAGTAACGGGCAGCAAGCTTATGCAACGAAGAATTATTGAGTAAATTCCTTCGAAATGGGTGAAGCTTCAAATAGACCATATCTCCCACAGCAAATTAGCGTTCGGTTCTATGCTTATTAGCAGAGTTGATCATGCGATGGCGGGCCTTTAGTAAGTGTTGTTTCAGAACTTGCAGAACTAATTCTCAGGACATACAAGCCCTGTCAACCAGGTCGTTTGGAGAATCACCCGATACGTATGGTAGATGAGTAGGAGGAGCCACCCCGTAGACAGCTTCAAAGGGAGTCATTCCTGTTGCTGAGTGATAAGTCCTGTTATACCACAGTTCCGCCAGAGGCAACCATTTGACCCATTGTTTAGGATAGTCACCAATCATGCATCTAAGATAACATTCGAGACAACGATTCAGGACTTCCGTTTGGCCATCTGTCTGTGGATGGTAAGCAGAAGAATACTTGAGCTGAACGCCATACAGTCTGAATAACTCCTTCCAAAATCTACCACAAAAAATGGGGTCACGGTCAGAGACAATCGATTTGGGGAAACCATGCAGTTTGACCACATTATCCATGAAGACCTGAGCCACATCCACCGCAGAAAAAGGGTGCTTAAGAGCCATGAAATGGGCAGATTTGGAAAGCCGATCCACAACTACCAGTATGGTTGTTTTACCATGAGATTTGGGCAGACCACTAATGAAGTCCATTGACAATTCAGACCAAATATGCTGAGGGATCGGAAGAGGTTAGAGTAAGCCAGGGGAAGCAACCAATTCCGGTTTGAACCTCTGGCAAGTAACATATGTTCTGACAAAATTCCTCACGTCCTTTTCCATCCCCTTCTAATAAAATATTGAAGCCAAACGCTGGAAAGTAGAGTGCATACCAGAGTGACCCACAATACCATCCGCATGGAAATGAGACAAGAGATCACTTCTTAAGCCACGGTCAGCCCCCACCACCAGCTTGCCGTTCCGTTTAAGAATATGGTGTTGCCAAGTGAATTTAGGATGAGACAGAGGATTCTGTTCCAGCTCCTTAATGAGCTTCTGTAGTTCATCGTCTACCAACCATGAATTGCGTACCCGGTCATACAAAGGGGAGACAGGTGTTGAAACTGAGAGAGCACAACTAATTCCCTCAGAAAAACGAGACAGTGCATCGGCAACAGCATTGTCACTTCCCTTGCGATGCACAATATCATAATCTAGGCCCCATAATTTGTGCAGCCGTTTAAATTGCTCTTGGCTTAGATCTCGTTGCTCCAGCAAATGCTTCAATGGTAAATGATCGGTTTTTATGATAAATTTCTGACCCCACAGATAGGATCGCCATTGTTTGACAGCGAATACAATGGCGAGGAGTTCCCTTTCATAGGCCGATAATGGTTTCTTCTTTGGTGGAAGAGCCTTACTGGCAAAGGCTAGAGGATGACCATTCTGGGATAACACGGCACCTAACCCATGACCAGACGCATCAGTCTCAATGATAAAAGTGTCCTGAAAATTGGGCAGAGCAAGAATTGGAGGGGAGACCATTGCATTTTTTAAAGCAACAAAGGCCGAATGGGCTTCAGGAGTCCACTGGAACTGCTTGTCTTTTTTTAACAGCTCAGTTAAAGGTCTTGCCAGCTCACTATATTTCCTTACAAATCTTCGATAGTAACTTGTGAGGCCCAAGAATCCACGCAGCTCGCGAGTAGAACCAGGGACCTTCCATGATGAAATGGCCTCCAACTTCTTTGGGTCTGCCTGCACCCCTTTGACTGATATAATATGGCCCAAATAATCAATTTGCCAAGCTACAAACGTGCACTTTGAGCCTTTAGCGAACAACTGCTGTTGCTGTAACGTTTTCAAAGTAGTCTCCAAATGGTCCAGATGAGCAGGCCAATCCTTACTATAGACTAGGATATCATCGAAAAAAACTAGGATGAATTTTCGAAGGAAAGCCTTAAAAACATGGTTCATCAACCCTTGAAACGTAGCAGGGGCGTTTGTAAGCCCAAAAGGCATGACCCTAAATTCATACAGGCCCTCATGAGTCCTAAAAGCAGTTTTAGCTACGTCATCTTCCCTCATCCGAATTTGGTGGTAACCCGCACGTAAATCTAGTTTAGAGAAGTAAGTCGCGCCAGTCAACTCATCTAAAAGCTCTTCGATTACAGGAATTGGAAATCTGTTCTTGATTGTAGCTGCGTTTAACTTCCTGTAATCCACACAAAATCGCCAGGACCCATCTTTTTTTGCACCAGCACAACAGGAGCTGCAAAAGAACTACTACTCTCTCTGATTACTCTGTGAGATAACATTTGTTGCACCTGAGACTCAATTTCAGCTTTCTGCATCGGCCCATACCGATAAGGCCTGCAATTGATTGGTTTATTGTCAACGAGAGGGATGGAGTGATCAAATCGCCGAGAGGGAGGCAACTCGCGTGGCTCATCAAATACTCTGCTGTATCGTTCCAACAATTGTTGTAGCTCAGCTTGTTGTGTTTCAGAAAGTTCAACATTCGGCTTTAAATCTAACGATAGGTGCGATGGAACATGAATCAGGAAGACATGTTGAGCGACCATGACATCTTTAGGGGACCAGAGTTCTTCAGTTACCAGACTACCATGATAGCCCACCCCATGTAACTCAACGAGTTGGCCATCACGGTGAAATTCGAACAGTTTCAACTCCATATCCATGGAGAATTTACCCAACGTCCGCAGCCACTGAGTGCCCAGAATAGCATCATAGCCTCCAATCTTCATGACTAAAAAGTCATCACGAAATTCAAGCCCTCCCATTTCCCATAGCAGCGAGGGGCAATATTTGGTGACGCTGACCTTACGAGTATCCGCTACTGTCAAGGTGACTGTAGGGCGTTCATGAACATTCAAGTTTAGACATTTAGCCATGGCAGCATTGATGACATTATGAGTACTGCCAGTGTCAACCAGAATGACCACCGATTGATTTTTTATGCGCCCGAGAAGTTTCAAGGTGACGGTGTTTTCCTTACCCTCAATAGCATTAATAGTTCTAGTAGACTCCGATGGTACCATCTCCAGAGCATCTTCAAAATGGTCGTCATCTTCATCGACCAGAAGAGAGAACAGATGCGCTTCCTTACACTTATGGCTCGGGGTATATTTCTCTGTGCACTAGTAGCACAAGCCTTTCCGTCTTCGTTCATCCATTTCTTTCTTGGTCAGGTGCTTAGTCAGCTTTGATGTAGAGGAAGCTATGGATGATGAGGGAGGCGCTGATGGAGGCGAAGACTTAAAGGCCGACGGACTGTGAACTGTGGACCTTTCAGGAATCGACCCATCACTGGCCTGCCCAAGCTTAGAGCCTACTAGCCCAGAGAATTTGCTTGACTCAACCCTACCAGAAAACAGTGAATGCCAATTCGGGGCATTGTCGTGAAGAGCTTGAATTGTTGCCTCCTGCATTCTAGCGGAATTAGTAGCACTCGCCAAGGTCGTCGACGCAAAGTTCAGAACAAGCTTCTGGATGTCTGGTCGTAGGCCTCCAATAAAAAGGTTAATGGCCACCTCTTCTGGTATGTCCACTTCACACAAAAGTTTGTCAAACTTCTTCTCATAGTCCATTACGAGGCCTGTACCTTGTTGAAGCAGTTTAAGAGTGATCAGAGGATTTTCGTCCTTAACATCAGAGAACTTGGCTTCCATCTGCTTGAAATATTCGTCCCAACTAACATCGGAAAAGGCTCTGTGACGCATGAAAGTCTGGTGCCAATGAAGAGCGTGCCCTTCCAAATGAATAGAGAGGAGGCGTATACGCTGATCAGCAAGTGTTCCGTCGACTTCGAAAAACTGACGGCAGCGGTAGGCCCATCCCTTGAAGTCGTCACTGTCGAATCAGGGAAACTCAACTCGACTGTGCTTGGTTGGAATGACATACGAAGAAGGCGGCTGCTGAAACAACTCATTCAACGAGCCAAACGTGGGCATTCGGGGCGGTGTAGCAGAGTGGGAGGCCCCCTCCCCAACTGATGGTCGTTTCCCATGCTCCGAGAGAGACGATAGTTTAGAGTTAATTTCCTTAAAATAATGCTCAAATCTGGCCGAAGAGGTTTTAAGATCATTCCGCAAATCAGAAAGGTCCTGAGATTGCTTGTCCAAGCGGACGGTAATGGAGTCGATGGTTCCTTGCTGCAAATCCAGTCTCTGTTCAATGTCACTGAGACGTTCGGAGGATCGCGTCTTCGACATCATGGACCGGAGAGAGGGCTCTGATACCCTTATGATAGCAGATAGAGAGAAAACAGAGAATATTTCATTCACGAAAACGCAATAGTGGACAGTACATCAATATATTTCCCTCAAACAGCCCACATCAGCAACGTATCTTTCTCTCT